GGTTCGGAAAGATGTTTCATTTCACTCTGGAAACATGATACCAAGAACAAAACAAGTGTTTGATGTGTTCTCTAAAACAATATAGATGAAAGTATATATATTTTTCAAATTATATTGTTTCCATTCAAAAGATGACTATTAAATTGACAATGTGTTCAATTTTTAGATTTTTTATGACTGGTTTAAGAGAAACGTGTGTTCAAAAAGATCTCCATATCGATACCACTCCTTTAATACAGCAATTAATCTACCCAATTACTCAGATGCGAGTAGGTAGTTACCAGTTTCGCCACCAGGTGGATGATTCGGGGGAAATAACATGGCAAGGTATTACAAAATTCCCTTAAACTCGAACATTCATCAGTTTTAGTGGTTCACTTTTCATATTACCCTTATGTATCTGACGGTTATACAAATTTAAATATGTCCAGTAAAAGAAAATATTCTCTGCCCAACACAAGAAAAGATATTTCCATTTTTGTGATTTTACAACATGGGGGCTATGGGGAATCTCCCCGACCTAGAAGTCACATTTTCAAAGAAAATTAAATTTTCAAAGTTGATAAACTCTTTTTAAAACCATATTTCTAGATGTAATTTTACATGTAGATTCCAAATATGACATCAGTTTGACTGAATTTTGAATTTTGAATGACGTAAATCAAGATTATTTCTACACGCATCTAGGATATTGAGGTTTTCATTGAAATGGACATTTTGCACGTTTTATAAACAAAATTAGCATTTTTGAGCAAACTCAGTATCTTTGAAATCTCAAGCGAAAATTAGAGTCTCCTGAAATATTAGGGCTTCCTTCCGGAAAATGGACAATGGGGCATAATTACCATTGTCTTTGTTGTAAATTATATTTCTGAGCAAGACATCATTATGGCATAGTACTACAGGTGAACCCAGTGTCTCTAAGTGGGTTTTCAATCTCTCAAATTCCGCCCTGAAGTCTTCTTGTCTGTATTTGATTCCTATTCTATATCTGAAACGTGATAATCTAGAGTCAGAAAGAAAAACAACTGCACCAGCTCTGACATAATTTCGGAATACATGTACTTTTAAAAAATCGTTAGATTCCTTTTCAGAATACATGCTTATTTAGAAAAATGTGAGGGTTGTATACAAATTACATAAGACCTTTTGTTTTTGTCCTGGTCATCAAAATCGTCAGGAATAAGAGACAGATATTTTTCAAGTTTATGAAAAAGCATAGGCTCGTGTCTCATTTTACTTTGCTCTTCATATTCAGATATTTCCTGTATACTGTGGATCTTTGCCATCTCATGTGCTAGCAATCTGTAACATAATGTATATTTCTAATTTGTAAAGCATAAGATCTCTATCATCTATTTAAAATATCAGCTTATTTAGTGACACAATGAAAACGTGAAATTACATTTTGGGGGAAGGGGTTAAATATAATTGTCTCTCGAAACAGCATTGGAATTGACACAATCCTTAATTCCCAATATTTAACAAATAATGCAATCAAAATACTAAGTTATATAATATATACCTTCCTATCTGTTTGTCTCTGACCATTTTCTCATTTATGCACTTCCCGGGTACATAGCCATAACACATACCATTGCGAAATCTTGCATAGATAGGTGGTGCACATCCTTTGTTATGTAGAAGTCTCATATAATGTAACTCTTTATCCCTAAATCAGCAACATATAATTGTGGTATTGTAGTGAGAGCATAGTTTTCTGTGAGGGAAAATAATGACATAATGTATATTGATGGATTGCTCAGTTGAGATTGGATCGAGAATCAAAAATGGTAAAAAAAATCACAGACATAATTTGATGATCTGCGTTTATTCGTAACCTACCCTAGCATATACAGTAGTTCATGAAGAAAGAAATTAAAAATTATGATTTCAATGTTGATCTCCTGGATCAAACTGTCCTGTCATGTGACAACCAACTTTTATAGTGTGTATTATGAAACGTTTGGGAACTATGTTGATAATCCATATACCTATCAATAAACGATTCAGTCCCATTGCCATAGATTTTCACAAGTACCATATCATCTTTAGCACCCTTATTGTAACATCCAACAAGCTTGTTTGTGGTACCCCCTGTAAAAACCTGAAATCCAACAGTGAAAATGATTTCAATCAATAAATAGCAAATTCCTTTATATCGATATTCAAAGGACAAGTTTTGGTTTGGAGAACAGTCTCCTGGGCTAATATTTTTCATCAAAAATGTAGAAATATTACTCAAATTAAATTATGGATATTCAAAAGAGGATATTTAAATCTACAATATGTAAAAATATCAACATTGTCTAAAGCAGGCGTAACGTGCAGTAGACTGATGAACTTCGTTCTCAAAACCGAGGCTAGTCTTTTCTCTAATCCATGATATTTTGCATTGCTAAAATACAGTATCACAATAAATAAATAAATAATGATCTTAATTGGTTTTGAGTAGCTCAATATTTAATACATTGGTCAATAACTTTAAAATTGTTACCTTGCACTTAACATTTTTCCAATTTGGCCTTATACTTCTCAACAACATTACAGCACCATCTTCTACATGTCCAGTAGCATTCTCATCAGCCAGAATAGCCAGGTCCAATATGTTATTTTCTCCCATGTATCCCACATTTATCATAACTTTACCTGATATCTATTCAAGCATTGAACGTTTGTTTATATGTTTCTTTGCTAGTGAAGTTTTTATGAAAATAAGTTAATGCCTGAGCACATTTCTTAACCTTTTACGACTTTGCACGCTATACTCTTCTGGCTTCGCAGGGCAACTGGGCACATCATATACAGTAAAACATGTAAAGTGGAACGTCTTTGTAAGTGAAACACCTCCATAAATGAAACACCTTTCAGAGTCCAATGGCTGATTTTATTAATGTTCAGTGAACATCTGAAGTGGAACACCTCCAAAGTGGAGCACTATCTAGAGGTACCAAAGGTGGTCCCCTTATACAGATGTACTGTTAGTACCTGTTTTTGGCTCATTAATTTCACTCATATTAAAACGCAAAAAATATGCAAGGCATCTTGTTGAATACATGTATAGCTTTGGCCTTCTGAAACTAGTCTAATAAAATGCCATTTGTAAACGTACCTCGTGAAATATTATGGAAAGTCTAAACTAAAACGATATCTTACATATCTTGTGTTATGTTTCCCTTTGAGTTGAATAAAGACTACAGTTTTCACCACAAGTTGCCGACTTCTTTTTCTCCTGTTAAGAAACATATTCTGAACACAAATGTTGTTGAAAGAAGAATATTAATGATGATTAAACTTTTCCTTGTTTCATTCAAAAAATCATTTTTGTTGACTTTCAACCATTCGGGTATTTAACTCAGATAAGTATATTATTGAGCGGGACTATTTATTCTCACTTATTCCATTGTAGTCAACTTGAGGCAAAAATATAAGTTGTTATTGTTGGTTTTACTTAAAATCAGTTAAAGAATCAACGCCAAGACTAATGCCTTTTTACTTACTGGATTTAATTTATTGTCGCGGTGCTTGAAATGATCTACGTCAGGCAATCAAAAATAACATATATCATGAACTTTCAAATGATCAATATGATTGCATAATAGGTAAATTTATTCCTTAGATTCACGATGTCGATGTATTTACTTTGAAGTGATTCTAAAATCAATCAATCTTCTTAATGAAGAGAATAGATAATATTAAAGTCTTCCTTCTAGATCACAAGTCATATATGTAAAACTTTTTTTTCAAAAGGTGATTTTTGGGTTGAGCAGTTTTAAATGTGAAATACGAATTTGCTCCCCCAAGCTGGACAAAAATAAGATAAACATTTTTTCCTAGCGTTATTGTACTTCAAACAGTGAAGTGAAGGTTATCCGCAAATGATATACTCATTACATAGAGTATAGTTAATTTTCTTTGGTACAACGAAATATATGTCATTTGAATTTTTAAAATAGTTATGTAAAATTGCATGCTTCACTAAGCTTGACAACTCTTTCGATGACACCCGTGTGGGTATAGAATATGTGGGTAACCGTCATCTCTCTATAAACTCATATAACGCTAGAATTAACGTCATTTAGACGGCGCTAACGCATCACACTCACTCAAACTCGATCTAACACACAGAATGGATACATAAATGAAAGATCTTGTAAATACCATATTTCTCCTTTAAATGGTATTGTAAAAAAGAAGATGAGTGATGGGAGGGGAATCTTTGTATGTTTTATTGACTTGGAAAAAGCCGTTGATTACGTAAATATAAATATATATAGATTACTGAAATGTGGAGTCAAATGCTCTGTTAAGATAAACAGTAAATAACTGACTGGTTTAATACTATATCAGGTGTACGACAAGGGGATAGTCTCCATGAAGTACTTTCTTTTGCATTATTCATACACAGTCTCCGAAAGACTTGGAAAGTAGGCATGTACGTGTTAATATTCATGACTCTGTAAACATTCTGTTTTGACCAATGATCTAGTTTTGCTGACATAATCTGAAACTGACATGTAAGAACATTTAAATAATGTAAATAGATGGTGCTATCACTTGATGCACAGTAATGTGATTTTGCTTGGCCCCCTTAGAGATTGAAAAAGTTTAGAGATCATTCGAACCTTTAATAGAAGTGTAATGATGTCAGATAATAGACTTACCAAACATATATCTAAAAGGGACAGAACCGGAGTCGTGAGCTTTAAAAGATTTTATATAGACGTGACTGAGAGTATTACAATATTGAAAAGCCAAAACATTTTACAAAACAGAGTCATAGTTATTGCTTAATCTCTCAGAAGTAGAAAGATCCTTAATGTCATATTTTTTATAATTACGTATTTTTCCTCTTGATACAAGAAGGCTTATTCTATAGACATTTCGAGATAAAATAAATCATAAAAAATTATCACGTATAACCTAGTTAATATTCAACTTCATTTCATCACTACATCATTTATTACAAAATACATAATAAAGGCGATGCAGGTCTTTATTTTATTGTATAGTATTCACAATGAGTATACAAACAAGTGACAGGGCCTAGGCTGATCCCAGTAGTATTATATTCTTTAGCACCTGGCTATCAGTCAATGTTGAAATCGGTGTATTTACATCCCATTGGTGAATCAGATCACTAGAAATTCCACTATCATTGAGTTATAGTGTTTATCAAAGTGTTTCAGTCTGGTAGGGGCATTGCGAGTATATCATCTCTCATTCGGTCATATTCATTGAGAAGCAGTATGGCATACCTGAATATAACAAAAAAAAAATTAAACGAGACACTAGGCTAATTTCATAGACTCAAAATGCAATGAGAGCGTGGCGTAGGATTAAAACACATTTTGACAATAAATGTTTTAAATTGATCATTTAAATTCTTTAAAATGGCCATTAAATTCAAAAGTTGCAGGAAATATGTATGCACATAGCCAAATGGAAAGGAGCAAAAATGATACAGAAAACAGCAAGAAAAAGAACACATTTAAGTGTATAACAATTATAAGGAAAACAAACCCTCTCTTTCATAAAGCATAATTCAAGCATAATACCCTCTCCTCTCACCATACACGTTACATTATCACAATCAAGAACCATAGCACCAAGGGACATTTCATTCATACAGAAGCAAATACAATATACATGTATGTTGGGGAATAAATATAAATTGATAATGAATACTCCTTAACATCAAAAATATCATTAATCAACAGCTAAATCATTTCTGATCCGGGATAAATTTAAAATAAGCTCTATACCATCTGTTAGGTTACATTACGTCTTACGACGATGAATCAGAGCAAATGTGAACCAGCCATTAGTTGATCAAAATGGTAAAAAATAATGGCATGACTGACAAACAGAAACGAAGTGCATGTACAATAGTACATACATTTTTGCTTCTTTTGTTAAAAAACATTTACAGTGGTTACCATTTTGATCATGCAATTCTTGAATAACACATACAATCATGATAAATTAATATGAGAGTTATAGTTGTTGATGTGATTAACATTGAGAAAGCATGTGGGCCACATCGGTCCAGTAACAGAGTGCTTACCCCAGAAAGTCAAAGTCTATGTTCGATAACCTTGTTTGGACGATTGCCCAGACACCCCAAAAGAAGTGAGATGCCTAAAAAGAAAAATGTGATTAGGTTGCAGTTTTGCACTTGGCTAAATAATAGAATGAGCAAAAATAATGCCATGAAAAATCATTCTAAGAGGAATAACAGCAAAACAACCAAGTCAGTGGAATATACATTTAATTTTTTTCAAACTATTTTTCTTATTATGTCGTTATGTCATCTAGTTTTGATGATAACGCATACTCCTAATCCCTACACCTTACCATAGGATCAGGAGATCGATTGGATAGTATTTTCTACTTTTATGTAAACAATTAAGTTGGTTCCCAAAGCTCCATGCACTAACAACAAGAGCATTAGGAGATGTCACATTTAACGGTGTAGTATTGCATTTAGGTTAAATGTATACCTTTTGACAGATGGAGTGCATACACTTTTGGGGCACTCTGTAGCTAAATATGTTAAATAATACAATGTACTTACCAGTGAGAATTTCCTAACTTGAACATATAATATGTCAATATCTCTATTAGTTGGTATTTTGTGCAGTCCCTGTAAATAGTACCATGCTACAAGGTATTCTCGTAACCATGATAACTGGAATGTTTTGGTGGGGTAGAGGGAAAAGTCAATCTTATTTGGATCTGTAACATATACACAAGCTACTGTCAGACTGTATCACCATTTTTATTTGCAAAGCTAAGTTTGGCCAGTGACTTGGATTCATTGGTTAATTTCACTTACCTGAAAATCTTCTTTTTTTGTTCATGGAAAAAACATTAACATATACAATATACATAATATCATAGAAGTCACACAATTTTCCATCATATTCTTTTCTAAGGCATCTAACCACACTAATCTAATCTAATCTAGTACCCATAATTTAAGGTAGGTCTTAACATCGAGTATTTCATATGGTACACATATCTTTTAACTTACCTGAAAATCTATTAAAGTGGTTTCCAATATCAAAGGCTTGGTAGTTATAGTCTGTGTATTCATAGTCTATGAAAGTTATTTTTTCTGAAATATATATGTTGATATTTTGCATCTAAATGTAATACAGCAATTGATTTCACCAAATTAAGGTTTTGATTAAACCTGGCATACCTGCAGATTTTGATCAAAACCAGTATCTTTGAAGTTTCAAGTGAAATTAGAGTCATGAAATATAAGGACTTCCTTCCGGAAAATTGACCATGGGCCTGATAATTACCATTGTCTTTGTTGTAAATTATATTTCTGAGCAAGACATCATTGTGGCATAGTACTACAGGTGAATCCAGTGTCTTTAAGTGGGTTTTCAATCTCTCAAATTCCGCTCTGAAATCTTCTTGTCTGTATTTCATTCCTATTTTATATCTGAAACGTGATAATCCAGGGTCAGAAGGAAAACAACAGCACCAGCTCTGAAATCATTTTGGAATACATGTATTTTTAAAAAAATCGTCAGATCCCTTTTCAGGAAACATGCTAATTTAGAAAAATGTGAGGGTGTCGAAGAGCCAGAAATCTTTTTCAAAATATTAACATATGTTTAATGTGTCAAAAATGCATTTGGAAATATCCATACAAATTACATAAAACCTTTTGTTTTTCTCCTGGTCATCAGCAAAGCCTTCAGGAATAAGACACAGGTATTTTTCAAGTTGGTGAAAAAGCATAGGTTCTTGTCTCATTTTATTTTGCCCTTCACATTTAGATATTTCCTGTATACTATGGATCTTTGCCATCTCATGTCCTATCAATCTGTAACATAATGTATATTTCTAATTTGTATAGCATAAGATGTATAGAATCTTTTTTAAAATATCAGCTTATTTAGTGACACAATGAAAAAATTTGAAATTACATTTTGGTGGAAGGGGTTAAATGTAATTGTCTTTCGGAACAGCATTGGAATTGAAACAATCCTCAATTCCCAATATTTTACAAATAATGCAATCAAAATACTAAGTTATATACTATATACCTTCCTATATGTTTGTCTCTGACCATTTTCTCATTTATGCACTTCCTGGGTATATAGCCATAACAGATACCATTGTGAAACCTTGCATAGATAGGTGGAGCACATCCTTTATTATGTAGAAGTTTCATATAATGTAACTCTTTATCCCTAAAATCAGCAACATACTCGTATAATTGTGGTATTGCAGTGGGAATGTATTTTTCTGTCAGAGAGAATCATAACATCATCATGATGTTTGTTAATGGATTGCCCAGAATCAAAAATGGTGATGAACCAATCAGAGACAATATCTTGATGATTCCAGTTATTCATAAACTACCATACCATTAACAATAGTTCCTGAAGAAAGCAATTAATAATTATGTTTTCAAATATTGATCTTTTGTATCAACCAGTCATGTGACAACCAACCTTTAAAGTGTGTATTATGACACATTCGGGAACTTGTATGTTAAAAATCCATATACCTATCGATAAAAGATTCAGTTCCATTGCCATAGATTTTCACAAGTACCATATCATCTTTAGCACCCTTATTGTAACAGCCAATAAGCTTGTTTGTGAGACCCCCTGTGAACACCTGAAAACCCATATCCAACATTGAAAATAATATTCTAAATGTGACTCAGATATCACACGATATCCTTTTTAGTACATTTAATAACTTTGATCAAATTAATTATTTTAAAATCGTTACCTTGCACTTAACGTTTTTCCAATTTGGCCTCATACTTCTCAGCAACATCATCTTCGACATGTCCAGTAGCATTCTCATCAGCCAGAATATCCAGGACCAATACATGTACGTTATTTTCTCCCATGTATCCAATATTTATTAACCTTATTTCAAGCGATGAAAGCTGTTTCTCTGTTCTTAGCTGTGAGCTTTTTGAAAATAACTAATGCTCGAATACATTTATTCTACCTTTTCTGGCTTAAAGTGTCCGCCCTTTTTGGCTACGTATACCATCGAATTTACATAAGCGGATTAGACTAGCTCATTTTTATATTGGTGTGATATGGCGTCTTTATTCGATTTTTCTCGATTTTATATTAATATATTATTACATTAATATATTATATATATATATATTATTATATTAATATATTATATATTATTATTATTATATATATTAATATTTAATTTTTCTTTTTTGAATTTTCACTTCAATTTTTGTTCAGTCTTTTGAATTCTATGTTTGATAATTCATATTTATTTTTGTTTCACATTGCACTTTTCAATTCAAGCATTTACAGTTTTTGTTCAATATTTGTAATTAATGTATGTAATATATTCAATATTTGATACCTTCCATCATGGGTTTTCACTTTTGAAAGCCCGTGCTTTCATCCACGTTTGAACAGATTTTAATTAAAACTAGCCTTGTTACATATCAAACTGAGAAAAAACGATTTGGAAAAGTAAAAATTTAACATCAAATACCAAACATCAAGATGTCAATCACTGAAAAATCTTTCATTGCAAGATCAATGGTAGCTTCAATGTTCCAAAGTTCAGACTAAGAAATCAAAATTACATTTGCAAGATCATTTTCTATTCAAACTGTTCGGCACTCATAGCTCCCATAGTGCCAAACAGATCGCTTCGATTCTTGTTCATGCGTATACAAAGATTGAGAATGCCGAACTGTTTGAATAGAAACATAAGAAGAGCCGAACTGTTTAAATAGAAAAATGAAAAGTTCGAATAAGAAAAATGTATATAGGTTCGAACTATAGAAGACCGTTTAAAATCCGAATACAAAAATGAGAGGTTCAAACAAGAAAAAGGTACAAACGTTTGTACATCAAAGTTAGATGTTCGATGTCGTGCAATTATAAAAGTTGAACTTTAGAATTGAGTTAACATATTATTTAAGTTTTCATATTAGGTACATTTCCTTATTGTTTGATGTTGTAAACATTTTTTCGAATATCTAAATATCAAATGTACATAATATCATTGAATTTTGAGCTACTTCTGACACTATACAGTTGGACGGCACATTGCCTTAACCCATCAGCTTTATGACGTGCACTTCCGCGTGGGACTATATCTTTACAACGGGAATTTCAAGTTTTTGTCAGTGTAGACATAAAAAGTTGCGGTCCTCTTACTCGCGCAGTTTTTAATATTTTCATTTGAAACTTGCAGGAACGGTGCTTTGAATCTAGCTCTCTACTCTTTGAAAACGTCATGTAGAATCAAAACAGTTGAACTATTTATTTTTTGTCGTGAAAATATTATTTTTTTAGTTCATTTTTATTTTACAACTTTTTGGGAAAAAATGTAACAAATTTTTATTTCTTGTCATATTTATCCGATATTTTGTCATCATGAAATTCGAGATTCCTTTTAATGATGGTGCAAATTTCATAACAATTGATGAATTTCTATTATCAGTGTTATGTTTTCCAAAAACGGTGTACCACTGTGCATGTTTCTTTAATTGACGGCACATTTGCCTTTAATTGGGCGAACGTACAGGTCCCGACGCAATAAGCTTTATTTGATTTAATACACTCAAAAATAAAGTTTTCTATCAAATCAGAATGTTCATAAAACATAAACCTTGCCTTTGTTTTCCCAATTCTAAAAGCAGGCCAAATAAACTATGATAATCGTTTGACTCTCGAGACTACAGAACTTGAACTTGAACATGCTAAAATCGAAGTTACCTATAGTTACGCTTGTAAAGTTAATTATATGTTTAACGGCGTACTGAGCGAATGTATCTAATCAAATTTGTGACATACCCATAAGATCGTAGATCACAATTCTAAGTTTAATATGTAATTTGGATTCGTAAGAAGTATTTCTGTTTTAAACTTACCTTTGCTGTCTGAAAAAGATCAATATTCATAGACGGGGATGTTGAAACCTACATTTCCTTTGAATGACCTGCATTTGTACTACACCATATATTGGGCACATCATTATCAATCCAAAACTATAAAAGACTACAAAGGCTATAAAACATTCGTGCTAAAGTCATCATGATAGCAGTTGAAGAATAAATAAAAAAGAAAGGGATACCATAAACAGGCCACAAACTTGGACATCAAAATAAAGCTGCGTACATTTGAAAGATGGAACTAGTGTTCCTATTCACAACAATATTAACCCAAAACCTAAAGGTGAAGGTGAACAAAACAAACAGTTGCAGATATCGTAGGTTTGTTCATCAAAGTACTTCTACAACAGACGTGATAGAGCTGAGTGCTATTGACATCATTGTGAATATGCAGTAATTTTTATCTACTACAGTTGACTTCATACATAATGTTTATTTTGAAGCTATCTATAAACATTGAAAATCACTGGCAGTAAGTGACAAGTATCATGTAGTTGAATGGGGAAAAGGTCAAAGCCAGAGAGTCTACGCAAACGGTTTTTAAACTACTTAGCTGACTATCCTGTGGATTGAAGTTGCTCCAAAAGGTTTGTGTTATATATTATTTATCTAAATAATAACAATGCCGATCTCACAAATTTTTGTTGATTTCATACATAACATAAATTTTAAGAACAAGACTTAACACTTCACCATACCTATTTGTTAGGTGTGATATAAAACGAAACATTAATTGATATTAACAGTTCTGGAATACCTGCATATATTTGAATGATTTATTAAAAGCATTATTTCAAAAATCTCCATGGTTCTTAAAATCAGTGAATAGAACATTGTTCTGCTAGAAACCCTAAATGAAGGTCATTGTACTTTGTTGAAGTTGAAATGAAGAAGGAAGTTGCAGTCAAATGGCCTGAGAGTAGCCCAAGTCTTCCAGAATGGCTAGCAACACAGCCTACACAGGATTGGGAGGACACCTTTCACAGAGATGGTTGCTTGGTAAAACTTAAATTACATGTACTCCGCCAGTTATTGTATTTCTATGAATACATGTATACTATCTATACCATCGGAATATTGCAGTTATAAATCATACATTTCACAGTTGTTTTATTGCTTTCAATTCAATTATAGTGAAGAAGCATATAGGCAGGTCATGTAATATTGATTCAACCTTTTAGACTTATGCTATATATAGAAATAACAATGATATCATTCTATTTCAATGAGCTTTTGAACTACTTTCAAGGGACTACTTTGGCAATAATGATGATAAAATCATGTTTTCATGGCAATTTCAATTAGAGATTATATGTACTTAGTAAGGATGTGTGATGAAAATAAGATGGACACGATGCCTTTTTTATTGTTAACCACATGATAGAATTGGACCACTTATCATCATGTATGGTGCCACTTTGATAAAATAAAGCTCTTTGACATTGAATACAGTAGAGCTACTATTGTATTTCATGTTAACCTTTTGGCACATGAATGGTGTAATGATGTATATTGATCATGATGACATGATATATTTTACAGACTGTCAACAATATTCTCACAGAAGATGAAGTTCGGATTTACAAAGGTAAGAAGCATTTGCAGTGCATTTGTTTTACTATCCGTTTTAAATATGTTTTTTTCTCTTTTTGTCCTTTTCATTGATCCTGCCATTAAAGAAGAATATATGCAGCTTTCGTAGGTTGTAGATACTGTAATAGTAATATGATGTTGTTATGAGCACCAAAAGATACATATTATCTCATTTTCAAAGAAATTGAATGATATATGATTTAACATAATTTTAATATATTTATTTTCTATGTGAAGACATCTACACTAGGATGTTATCTGGGGAAATAGACACGAGAAGACACCGTCATGATCTAGGTAATCATGGTAGGTATTCTTTAATATATTCATATACGATGAAACCTTGTTACTTATAAAATAGCTTACTGAGCCTGTAAGCACATTTGTGTCACAATTAGGATAGGCCATGTAATGGTGGAGGAACTTATCTTATTTTTGATGTTGCAATGACTTTCTTTATTTTTCAGTAAAACAGGTTTCTATAAATCAAGAAAATATCTGTCAAATAATGTGGCCAAGTGAATATATTGAAGACCTTTTAAAAGTAAGTTATAATTGTTATATGTTTTGAAGCTATTGAAGAACTCATTAAAATTTTCTCAATTAGAGTAGTAGTTCTATATCTTATATGAAAGCTAAAAAAATCTGAAAATGTTGATTTCCTATGGTTCAGATAAGTGGGCCAAATTAATTATCTTTCTTTTATTCTGCACGAAATACACCTCAAACCCCAATATTTGATTTGGAGAATAAAGGATAAGTACATATGTATTAGACATTGTATATATGCTATATTACAGGGTCCATTGCATACAAGGGCAGAAGCAATAGCACATGTGGTATTAGGGAAGGATTGTGTGTTAGACTTTGACATGCTTATATCAAAGGTAACTTAGATATACATATAAATATGCAACTAATCTATTTAGTGATTTCTCGGCAAATTTTAAGGCTTTCTAAAACAAAATTAATAGATGTCTTTGTTGTTTTAGGGGCCCCATACTAATACAGAGACCCCATGGCATCAGGATGAATCCTACTGGCCTGATCAACCTGATAAGCGAGCAGCTTCTTTCTGGGTATGGACTGACTAATGGCTTTTTATTATATGCCTTACCTGACAATGAGGTGATCAATCAGGTTTAGAACTCACTTGTGTTAAGTTATTAAGTCAACACAAAATGTCAACTGTTTAGGTGGCGTTAGATGAGTCAACCGTTGATAATGGGTGCATGTGGTTTGTACCTGGCTCCCACAAGCTGCCTATGAGGCCATTCAGGCCTGTCAGTGAGGGACATCATGTGTTATGCTGTGATTGCTCAGAGGTGGGTGTAGATACAGTCAACTTGTGTAAGATGTAAACACATTTAACAATTTATGTTATGCCATTGAGTCCAGTGTTAACAAAACCACCTACCAGAATCCCTTTAAATCGAACACTTTCATGTACCAGTTTTGTGATTCGATCATATGTCATATACATGCATCTTGTGTTATATGGATTGGATATATTCGATGTTTTTATGCACATAGGAGGAAGGTGCACCAAGGCCGCTAAAACCAGGATCATGTACAGTACATCATGGTAGAACATTGCACTATTCCCGGGGAAATACAACAAATACACAGCGCCGTGCATACATAGTTAACTTTAGGCCAGCAGATATGGTGAAGTTTGAAAGGGATCACAAATTTGATCATGGAAAGGTACTTCATAAGATCTTAGCTGTCTTTGCTTTAAATTATAATGCAATGATTTAAGGAATGAGGAAAACCTGTTTTCAGGCTTCAAATCAAAAACTATTACTAAATCCCTCAGATTACAAGTACACAAATTGGAAAATACTAGTTTAACTAAAGTCAAAAGAGCAAGCCTCAAGATTGTACTGTCAATATGGCCACTTAGATGTTGCCTATTATTTCAGACTTGTCTCAGCATAAACATTATGCAACACAAAAATAGAATGAATAACTAGTGAGACATCTAGTAAAAAATACGATGTGCAGCACAGTGATTGGAGCTAATTCGTCAAACATATATATCAAAACACAATACTTGCATTATGATTTCAGAGTGGTGTTGATGAAATTATTCTTACGCATAAAGAAGTACAATAGAGCAAGATCGAATATATAGAGAGAGATGCTTCAAAGAGAGATTTTATGAGGACAATTAGAAAAATAGCGCATGTGCTATAGCAAATATTTGTAAAGGGGCTTTTGCCAAATATTCCAGGATCTCAATTAGGAAATTGAGAAATGTGAATATAAGTAATCATGATTGTAAGTGATTTGTAAAACAAGACCTCATATGATGAGCAACTTCACAATTTAACATTCCTGTATTCACCCCATGCAGACAGATCGCCGAAACTTGCATTCGTACGGTTTTATCTTTACATCCTAATTTCAATCACCGCCTTCAAACGAGTTACCTTGAAATATCAAGACGTCATGCTTTTCTCATACTTATACATTCACCATTTATTAAGCGGTAAAATAGATTTGCTTCATGGGTAACAAAATGTTTCTAGTTTCCTGGTGAATGTCGAGTCTCACATCATACGAATGTAATTTCAGGCGATCTGTATGCATGGGGTGTGTATTGCTATTGCTGTATATCTGGAAATTAGCTGAATTATTTTACTTTGAGAATTGGAAAAATGTAGGATAGGTACGCTGAAATAAATGAAAAATAAATAAATGTTTTAATGGGAATGTAAAGACCGAGAATCTTATCTTTTTAATTTTCAGGTACTGAATATTTACCAATATGGATAAAAAATGATAAAAATGCTAACCTTGTCAATAACATTTAAATAAAAGTAAAAAGAATGGACTTAAAGATTTTGGTTGCGTTTTGCCACAGGTTCTCGTAACATATAATCGATCATTAAAATAAAAGCAACACATCAAATTGCTAACATTCTACACTTCAATGCAATAAAGGCGAGGTGAGGGACTAAATACAGGGCGGGCCAAAAAACCAATACCCAAGTTTAAAGATTAATGATTCATATGATATAGCTTAATTAACCATACTATGTATTATAAATCATTTTAAGGATAAATCATAAATATGACACCATTCGATTGAAAAACCTTTATTTTCTTGTGAAGTTAGGAGATAAATTGACAGCAGGTCTGTCATAAGCGACCAAAGATAAAAAAATTCCTGAATTTCCCTACATATTGCAGTCACAGCTGCACTCAATATATGCTTGACTGAATCATTTTAAATTCATTCTAAGAGTAATACAGAGTAAACATTGTGAAAATGAACAAATATCCAAAGTTTTTGAAGCATAACTTGTAAATTAAATCATATCAGTGGAAATATATGGTTTTATAAAAAAGACTTGCATTCTTTGGTATTGCAGTTGGTGCGGGAACAGCAGGCAGTGTTCTGGGTGGAAGGTTAAGCGAGGATAAAAATGTTTCCGTCTTGGTTTTGGAAGCTGGAGGCGAGGAGGATACTCACCCTGAAATAGAAATTCCACTTGGTTGTGGAGGCCTCCAGAACACGCATCTAGATTGGCAATACCGCACTGTACCTCAGAAACACTCTTGCTTTGGTTACCACAATAATGTAAGCTTTTCTGAATATACTACTCGTCAGGGCGTTCCTTAATCGTAGAAATATCTAATAAAGATTGGGGTCAAGAAAAAATAGGTTTTTATTTTTATCCTCAACGAATAGGATAGTTTCTAAATAGCAGAAAAATCAATGAAATCTCGTGCTGCCATCTTTTATTCAGCTTTTAACTCTGGCTAGAGCTCCATTCACTTACATGCTAAAATCTTGGAAAAGTGGCTTAATTTCATGATTTATCAAAGTGTGTTTGTTGAATCTGTATAAAACTTGAATGATATACCACATGATGACCCTGTTTATGAACATGTTGTGATTAAACATGCTAATGTTGATTGACATACAAATAATCCACGGTTTTAAAGAATTTTAGCATTGCATCTATGGACATTTGGCCCAACTTTTTTTAAATTGTCATAGAAAATTATTCAAATTACATAACTGTGTAAATCAAAGCTATTTTAGGAGAAAACATTCCACTGAATTCAAATATACCATTTAAAAGAAGGTAATGTAAGTCATTAGAGGTCTAATATGCAAGTCTCTTAAAATCTCACGAAAAATGAGATTTAGCGAGATTTCAAAAGCTATATGGAAACTATACTATTGTCATGGTGTAAAACTATTGAAATACTGTAACTTGTAATAATGCTTCCATGGTACTATAGTAATTGAACACAGTCAGCACCATCATAAAAGCGTGTGGAACATTGCTGGAAGTGTTATTAAAATTGCATATCACTCTTCAATTAAGAAATACAGACCGAAGAGCAAGGGTACTAGTTTCGAATACACCCCGCTGGTCTCGGCACAAACGTTTTCTGTACCCCGAACGACCGAAGGGAATGAGGGGTTAGTAAGCTTTTGTGCCGAGACCTAAGGGATGTATTAGAAACTAGTACCCCTGCTCTGAGGTCTATACTACGATTCGAACATGAAAACACACCAGAATAATGCAAAATCGTCAATTTCGTTGTTATTTCCTATTTTTTCATTTCTACTTCCTGTTCCAATTTGTTTACTTACTTCCTGACCCCGACTAAGTTTTTTATTGACATTTCGGCCTATTTTATTGGTTTCACGCAAATCTAGTTACATTGATAATTATTGAAATTAATTCTATATTGCCCAGAAACAAAAAAATCACAGCGGATATTTTGCTTCCGGACAATTTGCCATTTTGAATTTTGCAGACGAGAGGGGGGTGCGAAAAGAACGGAACGGCCTAAACTGACCAATGAGTGCACTGAACGAAACACTTTGACTTTATTCACAGTTTATAAAAGGCGTGAATACAGTCTTGTAAATCTTTTATTTGGAGCTTTTTGTTTTTGTAGCAAAGCAGATGGCCCCGGGGTAAAGTGTTAGGAGGGTCGGGAATGCTGAACTACATGCAGTATTATAGGGGGCACCGACAGGACTATAACCAGTGGGAAAAGTCCGGGTGTACTGGGTGGGGCTGGCAGCACGTTCTGCCATATTTCAAACGTTCGGAGAATATGCAGTCTGAAGCAGACATGAACTCAGGTTGATTGAAAAAAGCTAATTTTAGGCTTTTTATTATCTGTATAGAAATTGAAGAAATTTTTCATATCTATAGCCCAGACTCCAACAATACAGTAAACAAACAAAATAGGTCTGAGATTGCTAAAGACACTGCTAACCCATTTTAATTTGTATATGGTACCTTGCTATATTTTTTATATTTCAGACCTACATGGTACTGATGGGCCTATCAAGGTGAATCGTATTCAGGAGACGCAGCTCGCGAATTCTATACTAAATGCATTCTCTCAAATAGGCCTACCCATCCGCGACCCAAGCGCAGAGTCAGTGGAAGGTAGGTTATGACAAATCTATATATGGGTAAACATGATCAATGCACTATATAACTGCAAATCATTTGCCCATATAAATTTATAAAAAATAAAAACCAGAAACTTTCGGGAGTTAACATGTACATGTACAGGTATGGCAACGAGGCGCCATATCTAGTTGCAACATATGGTTAACGTATGTGTGTATGTGTTGCAGGGGTTGATTACATGAAGGCAACCGTAGATGATGCTGGCTATAGATCTAGTACATTGAGGGGATTTCTCAGACCTGCGATGCACAGGGAAAATCTTCATGTTGTGACGCAAGCACACGTCACGAAGGTATGGACCCTGGGAATTGTAATACTCAGATTACTCAAAAAATTTCTAATGACTAGATCATAATTTTGCCAATGATACAATTTACACTAAAATGAAACATAAATGTCACTGGACTAAAAAGATACGAATGATGTTTGTAGATTATTTTCGAGGGGACGACAGCTGTGGGTGTTGAGTACGTGAAAAATGGAAAGACACACCAGGTGACTGCGAGAGAAGAGGTAGTGCTGTCATCGGGATCGATAAATTCCCCACAGTTGCTCATGTTATCTGGTGTCGGACCAAAGCACCACCTCGAAGAACTAAATGTGAGTTGACACACTTTTCACCAAAAGTTTAAGAACACCAACTCCAAAATCTTTGGAAAACCATCTTTGCGGTGCCTAATCTCATGTAGTTAAGGAATAGAATCAAACTCAAACTAGCTTTTACACACTCTCTAATGGTTGCCACAAATTTTCAAAGGAGTGTAAATCTCTGGCATCTGGATTGATGAGAAAATATACAAAATGAATTTGAAACCTTGTATTTGGAGGAAGTCGGCAATTGACAAACGGTTCTATTGTTGTTGTTTCTTAATTGGGGTCGATGTTTGCAAAAATGCATCACTTATTTATCTCACGTACTGTAACATACGATACTTAATTAGTTCAGTTATATTTTATAAAATTATTGATTGTAGGATTGTATTTTCTAGATTCCAGTAGTAGCAGATCTTCCGGTTGGTGACACATTGCTTGATCATTTGTTTGCTGAGTTTGTGCAATTTAGTGTAAGGGAGCCACTTGGCCTGACGTTTGACCGAGCTACTAGCTTCAGCCAGATAGTGAAGTTTCTCGCTAGGGGAACAGGTACGAATGATTCACAAGATTCACAAGAGTATATACAGGGTGGTCAAAAAAAACGGCAACCCTAATTTTTCCTCATAATAAATTTTGCCCTGATATTTGGCACACATGTACATCATTCAATTTCATACTAGACTGTGTTATTTCATGAACATTGGACTGATAGTCGCAATGTTACAGCACTTTAAACAAGGTGCCCCAGTTTTCCAATATCGTGCTGTAGGCAAACCTGCACACATTTTCCAAACTGCATAACTGCATTTCTTAGCAAGTATGGCCTGAACGACACACGTGATCTTTATTTTGAGGTCAAATGTCTTTCTGGTGTTATAACCCTACACTCTATCTTTGGGGTATCCCCACTGGTAAAGATTAAATGGGGCCATATCTGGGCTATGGGGTGCCCATTCATTGTCTGTTGTACTGCTGATAATGTGGTCATTGAAGTGGTCCCAAAGCCATTATTGTGCATCATTGGGTGTATGGGGTATGGTTCTGTCTTGTTGGAACCATTGTTGCTGCCTTTCAACCCCCCTGGGTTCACATAAAGTCCCCATGGGAATCACAAAATAGAGTTTGATGTTGACAGTTATTGCATATCCGTTGATATCATCAAAGGTAAAGGACCCTATCTTCCGGGAACACACTAAACTGTGCATCCGTCTGTGTGAAGGTGCCTCTCCACTACTTCATCAAGTGCTTGGCTCCCCAAGAATACATAATTGTTATAGAGTTTACCAGTGCATCAAGTTGGAAATGGAGTTCATTTGAATAACAGACCAGCTCAGACAGGCCGAATGTGGCCATCTGGGGCATGTTGCTTAAAATGCAGTAATATTGTGACTATCAGTCCGATGGTCATGAAATATGGTAGGTTGGTAGGAAATTGAATGATGTACAAATGTGTAAAATATCAGGGAGTTATTTCTTAGAATGACAAAGATATTAGGAAAAACTAGGGTTGCCGTTTTTTTGACCACCCTGTACTTTTGACACATGATAAATGAATCACATTTTTTTTCTTACGAAACGAGCTTTGTAAATATCAATGACATATTACGCGATAATGTGTAGTCTAAGTAACGGACTAACTAAATACTGTGAAAGAACGATCGTTTATGTGAAAAGACGACATGCATTTGTATAGGGCGATTATTACGTAGAGGTTGACGTTTCGATTTTTATATGTATTGCTTTAAAGTGTCCATTGACCAACGTAAACAATACGGCCAAAGAGACTAATCACGGGTGTTAAAACACGAATATACCATGAGCACATGCTTTGAGGATCCGCGTTGTTTGAACCTACCGCCGAGCACACTTATACATTAAGACCCGTTACACAGTCATGATACCGCCGAGCAAGCTCATTGCATCATCGGGTCTGCTTTACCCCCGTGCTAATACACAAGTGAATCTATCATTGGGCGAACGAAGGATGGATTGTGGCGCGATATAGTAACAGTTTATCACGTTTGGTTTTATATGTGCAAGCTTGGTAGTTTAGTCGAAATATCAAACCTGAAAATCAAATCAATGAAAATTAAAAATCTCAGAATCGACCTTCTCCTGAAACTTTACTTGTGTAACAATATTTTAATGACAATTGTATGTTCATGAACGATATTTTGTCGATTTGAGAGACTAATATGATAATATTGCTGATGAATGCATGCTTTTATTGTTTATGCAGGATATCTTCGTATCCCAGGAGGTCAAGAGGTGGTTGCATTCTCCAAATCTCGCCATCAACCCGAAGATGAGGAGCGGCCCTACTTACAGTTTTTAGCCTTTTCTGGTATGTGGGGTATGCAACCTGGTGTAGATGACGCCATAAACAATGTTGGATGGACGCCAGAGGTACGTAGAAAACCGTGATGACGTTACCCAATTTTTCGACTTCGACGTTTTTCATTTGCTCGTTTTTGTACGCAATACATACATAGTTTTTCGACTCAAAACACTTGTTCAGTTGCAACATATTTTCACGGAATGTATTGAGGTTTGAGTTTTTTTCACTTTGCGATCTAAATTCATGCTAGGTCCTTTTAATCCACAGCACAGTTTCGTCCACTTCAATTTTAGAGCCGCATTATTATTTAGTTATTTCGACATTGTTCTCCAGACGTTTGATGCCTTATATGGTGCTAATGACAACCGTGATGGTCTTGGTATCCTGCCTGTCCTCCTGCGTCCTAAGAGTAAAGGGACTTTGAGGTTAAATACCACGGACCCATTAGATCACCCAATTATTGATCCAAACTATTTATCGGATATAGAAGACGTAGAACATTTAATAGATGGTAAGTTCTATTTACTTTAACTGTTTAAGATTTTACGTACTGATGAATAGTAATAGCTCTATTGTACTAAGGATGCGTTCTGGTGCTTTGTCAAATCCAAGCTCAAATATAGATATTTAGGGCGGAATTTAGGGTTCGAAACATGGCATTTAGGGTTTGAAACATGGTATTTAGGGTATGAAACAGGGCATTGTTGTACAGGCCCGTAGCCAAACCTTGCCAAGGGGGTTCACTTTTTCAAGAATTCCAGGGGGGTTCCCTTTTGACAATTTTGTCCAAAAAAGGTCAAAATCACTCGAAAAGTGATCAGAATGGTGAAAAACTGCATGATTTTGAAAGAATTTTTGGCCAGGGGGGTTCGCTCGAACCTCGAAAGAACAAAATCGATTGTATGATTCTAATGGCTGCAACCTTGTGTAATTTCACATCACACTTGTCTGTCTGGAAGATCAATGGTGATGGGCAGTCACGTGCTTTGTACATAACATCCATTTCGTACCGCTTTTCAATATTCTACAGCGTCATGTGGATCCTAATAGTTGGAGAAGTTTAGTTTATATTTACATGTAGGCATAGAGCAGTTGAGACGTTTAGTGAACACATCGGCGTTTCAAGAAATAGGTGCTGAATTATACGATCCCGTGACGCCCGGATGTGCAGCGTATCCTTACGCAACGAGGTCCTATTGGGAATGCTTCGTGCGTCACCATGCAGCCACCCTGTACCACCCGGTAGCCACTTGCAAAATGGGCGGCTCTGATGATGAAACTGCAGTGGTTGATCCAAAATTACGGTTAGTTGTTTTACAGACAAAGGACTAATGTAGGAATTACAGCCGATTGAGCATGAGAGGGTGATATCTAATCTTGGATTGTGGGTCTATTTTCAAAACATTGCATATGGTTTATCCCTGAGTCAGTTTAACTTAATGGTGTGTTATTTTCCAGAAGATTGGCCTGTACATTGGCCTTAAAGACCTGTTTACCAACAGATATACCCACATCCAAGATAGACTGCCTAAGTCAGTTGCCATACCCACCGTAGTCCATTGGATATTGAATGCTTTATTTGAAATATCATATTTTACTTGAGAAGTATTTAATTCTGGTAAAGATCAACAGGTTAATGTATCAAAATGTAGAAAATACAACAATGCCTTCCAGTTTAAAAGCAGTGCAATATATCCATCTCTCCATCCTAGCCGTATATTTTGAATCTTTTGCATTGTTTCAGTGTGCGGGGGTTAAGAAATCTCCGTGTTATAGACGCTTCAGTTATGCCAACTCTTCCATCGTCAAATACCAACGCACCAACCATAATGATTGCTGAACGCGGGGCAGACTTTATTAAGGAATCTAGGTCTTGCAGGGTGCGGTCTTCATTATGTGAACAGTAAACCATTCCTATTTGTTCGCAGAATTCCTTTCTGTTATTAACATTAACAAGGTATTATCATGCAAAATGTCACCACCTGACATTTGTTACGGATGCTTTAATGCCAAACAACAACTGCCAAACCACAAAAAATGGCGTTTATGTTATTGAGAGTTTTTTTCTAATGAAATGGACAGTAAACTAACATGAGCAATCAATTTCTATGTTCTGCTGTACAAATGATTTTAAGTATTATGAAATTCATCGAACACACCTTGGGTGGCTGTTAAATAAATGGAATTTATGAAATTGGTTGTCAAGAACAGTAAAAACAGAAGCCTCTATGGCTATGGTATTTAATTAATATATTGTAATGTTTGAGCCTCTTGAGAGTGAGACTCTCATTTTTAATTTGGATCCCACTTGTATTAGATCTAGCACTGTTCACATAAAATGTAATAATTACAACGCATTGATAGAAGTATCATCCAAAAACGTTTGTTGTTTAATGTATTGGTATTGCGGTTCGTATAGTTTTTTAATTTGATTAATTCAAAGCATTATTATTTATAAGATATATAGGCTTATGCAAATACGGGACTACATTAACCACAGAATAATAAATGTATAATGTTGGTGATACCACACATATTCGTTGTATAGATTAAAAACGTGACGGTGCTCACGAAATTCCAAATCATTGAACATCATTATTAATATATTCAAAGCAAAATATGTTTCAAGATGAGTGATAAAAGGTCGTCTACACTTTGCAGTGCGTTTCAACATTTCCAATAATTTTCATACTTTGTCATTTCAAGTTCCGATCATTTGATGTACGAATTATTAAATATTTATTCATCGATATAATTTGATTTTATTTCGAAAGATATCCACCCAGACAAAGTACCATCGGGGTAAAAAATCAAAAATTACCTGAAATTACATGACGTGACAGAACCACCGCCAGAATGATCAGATCTACCTGGCACTTATAAAGAAGGGAGTAACAATAGTATTTTGGACCCAAAAACGCAACAATTAGTGGGCTTTTTTGGCATTACTTGGCCTTTTTGGGCCTTTTTAGGCCAAATTATCAAAAAAGGCCCCCACTTTTTTCGATTTAGGGGCCCAACATTTTTTCTGATTTCAAATTTGCCCCCCATCCCTCCCGTTAGCTTCTGGATCCGCTAGTGGTATCTCAGTAGAAAGAAATTGGCGCCCCATAGCTTTTCCAGTTGCATTTTAGTTTACGGCGACATAAGTGACAAAATCATATCATAAGACAGGGTAGGATATGGATTTAGTTTGGTCATTACATATAACTTAAATTAACAAAACGTTCTTTTCTAATGTCCAATGCATAATATTTATTTGGATCAGATCTTTGGGGATGAACAGTAAATAGAGACACACTATACGGTAACAGTATAATAATGTCGCATATTGTTGCAAGTGGACTTCTGGATTGGAGATCTATGTTTCGAATGGCATATCAGGGATGAGTCCCTGCTGGAAAAGAGCAGAAAAAAGTAATTATTACTAAATTAAATTAAGTAGGTTTTGCAAGTGGAACATTATAGATTATTATAGATGAGTATCCATCTCTCACATATGCTAAGAATATTGTCGGTTGGGATATTGAACATTTCCACATCTATTTAGTTTTTGGATTAATAAATTTATTTATTTATTCATTTATTTTATTTATCTATTTATTTATTTTTATTTATTTCATAATAACTATATTATATCAAACATTTGTTTAGCTACTTACGCTCTTTAACGTCGCTGGTTTACTACAGAAATATCCTCCGTAGCCATAGTTACACGGTACGTTCCTCCAATGACCATTGTAACCCCATATATGGGGCATCATCTGGGTACAGTCATCTTTGACCCCAGCCACTCCAAGCTGTCAAAGCAACAGATAATATACCAGAATGTTATTCCCTCGACTGTCATATTTCTGATCTTACGCTCCTCTCATACAGAATATTGGGAGATATATTTGTTTGAGATGAAGTTCAAACTTATTTGAACAAAATCGGTCAATTTGAATTGTTACCCGAAAGGATTATATACCAGAAGTGGCTATAGTCCTATGGTTTTTAAATAATTTTTTCTGTGTCTCTTTACCTTTTTTCCGTCATTTGAGGCCCAAAATTCGAAATCTACGGGTGAGCCATCATGCCACACAAATTCACCTTCATTGTCGATATCATTCAGTCCGATGTAGTATGCATGATCTGCTTTTCCTATTCTCAGCTCCGCTAAAATAAAATTCAGATACGTTTAATATCCGTCAGATCAGACGCCCTGTAATTATCGAGCGATCTGTTATATAGGGTGCATTATTGTTCGTAAGGATAATTCAAACTAACATATCTTCTTGAGATCACAAAGTTGAGTAACGGTGAATTAGAAGTACGAGGAAGAAGCAAAACTTACATGCAAGATAGTTGTTTTCATCTTTATTATGAATCGACGCAACGTGTCCCCCGCGGTCCATGCAACCTTTCTGAGCCAAAGAGTAGTGTGCAAGACTAGCAACTGACAGAAAACATCTTGAGCCAACGAGCTTCCAATCTTCCTTTCCGGTGCACGTAAAGTTTCCTTCGGAAATATAAAATGTTGAAATGCCAAATGTAAACATTTTCTGAACACTTGAGCGTAACAACAGTATTATAACTTAGTACGTATTGGCTTTATATATATCTTTCTCTGTCATTAAGAGTAAATAAAATTTGAAATAAATCTTAAAATTCAGCCTAGTCTAGAACTTGGACATATCCAATGCTAATGAGCTCCATAAACGCTATTTTAAAATTCATAATATTTTACTTTGATCACGTAGAATGTACACTACCTTTGCAAGTATCCTCTTTTTCCGCTCGGATTTTTGGAAGACGATACACCCCAATTTTGAACTTTTTATACATCCCTTTCACAGCTTTGATCCAAGTAGCTTCTGCTCTCACCAGCTTCGTAAATAAATTCATGAGCTTCTCTGTCGAAAGCCGATTGGAACGAGAACCTGCATCTTTGCTTTCAAATTGCCTTATCATTTCTGCGACTCCTTCTAACTTATCTACCGCCATGACTTTAATTAGGCCGTCTAAGTAATTTTGCACCCAATTTCTGACAATTTCATTCAGGTCGGTGGTATCATCCAGACATTTACGTATTGCAGATATCACGGCATCTAATGCTTTTTTAGACTTCAAAAGCTTCTTTGCTTGCTTCGCTAACTTTTGGACAAAATCTACAAACTCTTCTTCATACAAAATGAACTTAGGATAGACCACCTTCTTCCCGACTGTTTTCGCCATTTTTCCGATACTAGTTGTCAGTTCGTCCAGTGTAACCTTTTCGAATTCGAGATTTATTAAGTCTTCTTGCAAGAATTTGTATTTTTGAAGTGCTGCACACGCTTCAGATTTCTTTATCGACGCACCCGACACATCGACAACAAGACACACCAGAACAACAACTAAGCAAAAAATTTGAATCAAATTACAAAATAGGTCATGTCTTTATTCCATTCCGCTAAAAAAATTAAATCAAACCATTACAATTGTTTTTATGAATTTGGGCTAAAATTGAAAAAAAGTTGAACAAAGCACGAGTTGCAGATAAAACACAATATCAGATAAGATTATTAAATTGTACTTTCGCCTACTTCAGTAGTTGATAATATCAAAATAAAAGAAATAAGTAACTTGTGGTCGTCAAAAAAATTACACAATGCGTAAAATACATCTTCAAGACAATAATGACAATAATGTAGATTAATATGACGCAAATTAATTTTTTTTTAGAAATAAAACAAATAAATCATACATGAATTAATTAAACAACAAGTCATACTTGAGCAGCGTAAAATACTCTCAAAATGGTTTAAAAAACTTACATGCAAGTGTCCATAAACTCATCTTCGATTTCAGTGTGAGCACCATGTACGCTGAAGTAAGCAATTATGAATGCCCGTGATGAGAGAGTGAAACGTATCTAGTCTTTATATATAAAATCCTCCTCGACCACTCATTCTAAATGATTCTCGTTATATGTTTTACGATTCATGGAATGTTGGCCGGGAATGCCCACGCAATGCAACAATTGAATACACTCCAATTTTTATTTTGGGTTTCACTTTCAAATATACAATTATAAATATTGAATGTTATCAGAATATGTTATATTGATAGAATTATGATCAAAAACATTTAATGAGCAGTGTATTGCGGTGTCTGTTCAAATTAGTATATGCAATATAATAAAAAACGTATTTAAATAGATGTAAATGCATACAACCGCGGTATTTATTTTGTACGAATGGTTTTATTTTGTCATATACATTTTGAATTAATTGCAACATAATACAATGGCCGCAATGCATTCAAATTTGCGAACAGAAATGAAGGCCTTTTCATTGTAGTTTTGTACTTCCGGGTTAGACGTCAGTTAAATGTCACCCCTTAACATTTGCGCAATATCATCACGGGGGATAAGCAAAACGAGGGCGAAGCCACGGACTGCGACTCGCGTAATTCAAAACGAGATTACAACGCATTATAGCTGAACAATGGCGGTAAGTCCAAACTTAATTTGGAAGGCATGTTAGGATTTGGGGTAGATTATTGGTTTGGATATTCTACAGAATAGCTAGTATGTTCCAGTCGGTGATCAACATATTCATACTCCACCTGCAATGGCATTCTTGGTGCTCGGCTGTCCAATAGTTTAGCATGAACACAAATGAATTCGAAATCTGCCACAAAAAATGTAATTTTGTCAATATTTGTCCCTAATATACCGATTTAAACAAAGGAATCAGAAATGACATCGAATTAATATAATTATTCATGTTCTGTTGTTACAATTACATACATGCCCTAAATATTCATATTTCAAACAAGGATATCTCCAACAATCCTGGCTTTTTGAGATTAAATATTCTACCGAGCCTGTATGAATAGGGAATTTTAGTTGGTTTAGCCTATTGTTCGTTTACACACATATACTTTTGTGGCTGTTTTTTAAATGTATGCCAACCCACCTCGTGTTATGTCCACGTACAAGGAAGTCACGACTGGTGAGCTTAGTTACATCAATAGAGTTCAATTTGCTATAGATGGCATTGGTGGCGTAAGTGGCCTGCATCCATTCTGAGTTACTATGAATCAAAAAATGAACAATGGCCCGGAACAATGGTCGATGGAAATCTTTGTCCCTTCTTCTTTGGTAGCCTTAATAGCAGAAATGAGTTCAGACACGGGCACGGGGAAAGATAGAAGAATCACCGAAATGAAATCCACTCCTCCACTCTGCGTACCAAGGAAGTTTTTTCTTTGGTCAACAGAGTGGGGGTCCGTGTGTTTGGTGGAGCCCGGTTTAGATTCCATGAAAGGAGATATCGTCATTCATTCTAGTTCTAGACTAGGACATCATTTCATTAGAACTATTAAAACAAATATTATACGCCAATTTCAAAGCATATGCCGTCAATGCGTGTAATAAAATCGTGCACATTTCACACAGTGCTTTGGCTCAAAGATGATAGGATTGCACCGCAGCTGCACTTCCATGATGTTATTTAAGCCAATTTTTTATATAATTTAGGTAACTAAATTTTGGACATTTATTTATCCATCCGATTGTGAGGGATGGAGCATTGCATTTTCTCATGAAAATATTCATGAGAATTGCTGAATTCATTGAGAAAATATATTGGGCTTGGTTTTGAGAGAAAATATGGTTGGAGGTTTTGTTTGTGTAGACATACGTAGACAAAAAATAGAGAAAAGAAAGTAATTGAAGGTTCAGTCAAGATGAAGAAAAGTGTTTGTCAGCAGGGAAAAAAGCTATGATTTTATGTCAGATATTGTATATCTCGCAATTTTATAAACTTTTTCAAACATGTCAACTCTTCATATTGTAGATATAATGGTACACCAAAGAGATGGGAGTACCTTTTGAAGTTCTTTTCATGAACGTTTTCTTATACTTTATCGTAGAGCATTTCTAGATCTACCTTTTACTTGACCTATTTGATGTGACCTTGACCTAATCTGGTAATGATGGACCCCAAAACAGTTTGAATTATTTGAATCTCAATGTATTGGGTAAACCAGAGATCGGATGTTAATGAAATTAGAGATATTTTGCATGTACCATGAAAGTATCATTGCAGTAGTTATACGTCAGTCAGGGAGCCATATTCTTAGGTTGTACCACGTTGTACCATTACGTAACCCCTTTGTTCTAAGGTTGTACCATGTTGTATGTTACGTAACGCCTGGCGTAACACCCCTTTGTTCTAAGGTTGTACCACGTTGAATGTTACGCAACACCCTTTTGTTTAGGGATCGTTGTACCTCTCTATGTTACGCAACACCCTTTGTTAAGGGAGCCATACGTCAACGTTGTACCAAGCTATGTTGCTCAACACTCTTCCCTCCCTAAGTCTCCCGCTCGCCTCATTAGCTCGATAACAAAGGAGGGCGACGATTAGTGAGCCATTTAGAAAATATGGTACAACACTGTAAATGTTGTACCAAAGTCACTCATTTTTTATATATAAGGATCACGCCGACACTTAGTAAACCAAATGCCCTTTACCATTGGTGGGTTTAAAACTAAGTCAAGTCTCATTGGCTGAGTGCTAGGGATCACATTGAGTTCTTCGTTAAGGTTTACTGTAGCCCTCATTACCATCGTCAACTCTGATCGATTAGCAGTAAATATTTTAAAAAGCCAGAAAAAAAGTAAAATAAATTGAAAATATAGTAAGATCATCGTATACTGTACATTACAATGACTGAAGCGCAGGAAATCAACTCTCTGGCTGTATTCGAGTTTGGAAGTGAATTTAAAGTGGACGTTAGATTGGGGAAATATCCCAAACCATTTTTACTATTCCAGCAAAGAATACTAAATACATCAGAACTTCGTTACTTCAACAAGTCTGTGCTACTGTCCATCAAACAGTACGTTCTCTTCAGGGATGCCATACCAACACTTTCGCAATTCGCTCGATGTGTGATGGCTGGGGGCGAGGAGATGTTAATCAAACTGGACAAGTTATTGACTGTGTACGTTGGACGGGATGGGTACGAAAACACATACATGAAAATGAAGAGAACGAGAAAAAATGCTACACAGTCCTCCTCTGGAAAGCAAAGCGACGAATCGGATGAAATCAAAATCGACTGGGAAGACTTCGAGCTGTTAAAGGAAAAAATTGGAGAGATAAATGCCTGCATTTTAACTGCAGTGAAAGAAAACAAAGAAAATGGTAAGTTAAGTCACTTATTGCGTGAGTTTTGTATACAACATGTACAATACATGTATCTATAATTCGGTACTGTTTGTTAATATCACATGATATTATGACTGTCATCTAAAATAGCATGTTCGTATGGTAGGGGGAAACGCGCTAAATAGCATAAACATTGTGTAATGTATTCCAACATGAATTTGATATAAATCTTTCACTGCGTGTCTTTTAGTTACTTCAACCGATGACAAAGGAACAGACAGCGGTAATTCGGGAGCTAGTCAGAAATATACTCTGAACAATAAGAGAAAGGGGGATTCCTACGATTCAGACCGGATGGTGACTCCGAAGAGACAAAGCCACGAGGTACCCGAATCCCAGCCATTGTCGCCAGAACTTTTCGGATCCCAAGAAAATGCTTCACTCGGTTTTGATGATGTCACAAGCTTTGGAAACACAAAGCAGTTTTATTATTGACATTCAGCCAACAACATTTATATGTGATACATCAGAGAACAATCACTAATATTGGGTTAATATAGGATTTTGAGACCGTATAATACAGTTGCTATGACAGCAAGAAAATGTATTTCAGAATAAAATGTAAATGAAAATGGAATTAATAAAAAGTGATTATATCAGAAAATAAAAAAAGAATTTTATTTGTTTATTTTTAATGAAGTGTTTCAAACTATATTCGATACTTTTGAGGATTCAATAAAGTTCAATTAAGTGTAGAGTTACAAATGCTGTTATTTCGAAATACCATAACTTAAACATGAAGTAGTATTGAAAACAAATTGCATGATTATTTGACCCCCTGGCCCTGTCCATTTTGGAAGGTCCCTTTACATATTTATAATTTCATCCACCACTTGAACTCATTCATTTAGTCCGAGTAAAACGATGGAGACGGACCATTATTTTTTCTTGAGCAGCAACGACTCTAGACAGTATTATCCTTTTAACAATTCGAATAGCTTCACGGTCGTTCTACCCGGCTACTTGAATCTGATAGGTCTTTGGCAGATAGCCCTTTGCGAAATCAATTTTCCCGAGGATCCCATTTGCGATTCTGAAGTGAGTTGTCTGGACGTATTATGCGAACTGGCCGATTCATCGGTGGTGAACTGCGAGAAAAAGTGCATTCTGAGAAGAATTCCCAAATCCAATCCGAACAGGGTGTTCGATAGGCCCATGTACTTTCCCATCAATCAAGTTCACTTCGACAGAATCAAGATAAATATAAGAGGAGACAACAACAAGACGGTGTCATTCAGAGAAGGAACAGTGACTTGCGCGGTTCACTTAAGACGACTGTTATAATATAAAAAATTGGAAATAAAATGAAATTGGAACTTTACGTGGACGACCCTAAGAAATGGGACTCGTTCATTCGGGCTAGTCGGGAGGGTCGGGTAATGGCTCAGATAGGTAGGGGAAAACACAAAGCCAGATACATCCCCCTATCGTCTGTGAGGGAAGCGCAGGCCCCGGTAAAAATGATCTCCCCGATTCAAGCCGTCACCGAACGAGCGCGTTCAGATTTACAGCAACAGAAAATGATGGCGAGACATAACGAGATTTCAACGATGCAACCCGCGACCACCAAGAATAAAAGAAAGCATACTGGAGTCGCTGCGGTCAGTAAGAAGAAAAAACCGAACGGTCAACAACGTAAGGGGAAGAAAGGCTACGAAAATATCTTTGACAGAAATTGAAAAAAGCAAAAAATAAAGATGGCGTTCAAAGTGAGTGGCAGTGAAGAAGTTATAAGTGATAATTTGAGATTTTTCGGCGAACCACCGACGGAGAGTAGCGTGACGGCCTACTCTTACGTGGAGATTCGGCCCACTGGACAATTAACCGATCATTCCGTGGTAGAGTTTAGTATTCCCAATAATTCCTCGCAGCTCATCGATTTGAAAAATTCGAGGCTCTACGTGAAGGCTCGTATCTTGCGTTCCGACGGAACGGTACCCGAGATAACTGAAAAATTTGGTCCTGTGAACAATCTCCTTCATTCTCTATGGGGTCACGTGGAGATCCAGTTACAACAGCGTCCCGTGCCCACGTCCATCAATATGTACCCGTACAAAGCTTATCTAAAAACGTTGTTGTACACCACGAAACAGGAGCAAGAAGGGAAACTGTCCGCCGCGCTGTACTATAAGGATAGTTGTTTCGGCGGACGGAACGTCATGGATGGAACCGATGTAACTGGATTAGACGCACCCAGGGGCTTGGTGACCAGATGGGATGAAAGCAACGAGGGTAAAATTGTGGACATGGAGGGACCTTTGCTGGAAGACATCTTTCAAATGGAAAAGTTTTTACTCAATGGAATCGAAGTGAAAGTGAAGTTGACGCCTACATCGGATGCCTTTAGACTGATGTCAGACTCGGATACCATCTACAAAGTGGAACTCGTGGATGTCTATCTCAGGATGGCCATGGTATCAGTATCCCCGGGAATATTACAGTCTTACGATAAACATTTACACGAGAAGAACGCCATTTATTCCTACGAGAAAAACGACTTTAAATGTTACACTATACCCGCTGGCCAACTTCAATTCAACTTCAACGACATCTATAACGGGGCAGTTCCCACTAGGCTCGTATGTTTCCTGGTCAGTGCTCAAGCACAAAGTGGAAGTTTTAAGAAGAATCCCTTCAACGCGCAGGCATTCGGTCTCAAGTATTTGGACGTTAGGCTGGACGATCAGAGCGTTCCCGAGAAACCCCTGACACCACGTTTCGACGCTACGAACAGTAGGAAGAGCAACTACATTCGAGAATATTTAAGATTATTCGCGGATCCCGATGTTCCACTTGACTTATCACGCATGGAGTTTGGGACAGGTTTTGCGTTCTATAGGTTTGACATTCAATACTCGGACAGTGTCAAATCTGTTGACGAAACATTACCCTTGATAAGAAGAGCCAACGTGAAAGTGGAGGGGCATTTCGAAGAGGCCCTTTCAGAGCCAGTCAACCTCGTCGTATGCGGAAGTTTTCCTCAAATCTTCGAAGTGGACGCCTCGAGAAATATTATCGTGAATTGACAGAACCATGTACAGCTTCACATTGCATAGGATGTTAACCACCGATCCGTATACTAAACGAATTTACGGAGGAGTAGTGGCCAGTGACGAATTGCCCGCCACTAATTTCGGAAACAGTAGGGTACTGATAGTCGCCAACACAGCGCCTAAAAGTCACGCGGGCTTACACTGGGTCGTGTTCAATAAAGACCAAAATTCGTTAGAGTTTTTCGACTCTCTGGGCAGGAAACCCGAGCACTATGGCCCAGATTTTCAGCGGTTCGCGACAAACAATTCCCGAGGAGAGAAGTTAACGACAGTACCCTTTCAACTGCAACCTTCGAACACTCAAACTTGTGGATATTATTGCTTGTTTTTCGCATTCTTGCGCAGTCGAGGTCATTCCTTCGATAGCATCGTGAATAGATTCAGCAGAGACACATTAATGAACGATCAATTGGTGGTGAGAACTGTCCGTCGATGGTTCAAATATAAAACTATGGACTTGTAAAACGATGTCTCCTCAATTTAAGGTAGTTTCGCACTTTCGCACACACTATTGAAAAACTTTGGAATAAATCATTTGATTTCTCATTCAATTGAACTTATTAAATTCATTTCGAATGATGTATTTTGTAAAATATGACTACCTTGATATTTTATTGTATTTTTCATGATGCAGAACTACCTTAATTGTTCATAATGCTGAACTACCTTAATGTTTTTCTCGTAATTTTACTTTTATTTGATGTTCACTATCATATAAGCGCACATATTTTATGTAACGCATGTAGTTATTCCTATTTACCACTGTCTAGATTATGTACTCTCATTTAATAAATGAAGTAACAAATAAATTATCACGAATGTATAAAGAAGTTTATTCTTATTTTATTACATTTATTTTACAACCCCTATAAAAGAGCTAACGCTTTCATCAGAGCAATGTTAAGCAATACAACGATGCCTTTGGATTTTTTCAACAGTCTCTGTATTTTCTGCTTATTTGGAATGTCAGTGTCAGCCATAAATTCGAGCGTGGCCCTAAATTTTAAAAGATCCATTCTCTCCTTTCTGGAGATGATCACATTTCCAGCTAGAACATTCAAAATCAGTTCCATTAAGGCCTTTAATTGTCCCGGGTAGATTGTCCTAATCAACGCACTCCGCTGGGACTTCGACTTAGTTTTAGCCAATAGCTCCAGATAGGCTTTATGTTCATTTATCAGTCGACTCATATCGAATTAGAGCGATATCCACTTGGTTTTACTAGTCGATGCTGCGACTGCTACCGCGCCCCTGCCCCTTTGAGGAGTAATTGGATCTCGTTTTCCTTTTTTCAATGGGACGGTCACGTCCCTAGGTTTCGTCGATTTTCGTTTCTTCGTCCTATCTGGTATACCAGGCGGAATGATGACGGTCTCCTTTCTTTTGGGTAAAGCTACAGAATCCTTTTCAGTATCAGCTTTATCAATGTCCAATGTCTTGGAACCCGATAGTTTCGACGCTGTATCACTTAATTTATTCCCCAATGGTTCCTCGTTGCTTTCTTTAGTAGTAACGCTAATCTGTTCTTCTTCTTGTTTGCTATCTCGGTCGGAATTTCGTAAAAGCCTTTGATAACGTTCAAAGGGGATCATCACAGTTTTTCTACTATTCATGTTTCATCTCCATCTAAGAAACAAAAGCAAATAAAAGTATTTACTCAACAGGAAGTAAGACAGTCCCAGGTAGTCCGCCGTTCTCATCCGACTCATCCGGTAACGCATATTTAACTGACAGATTCCACGTAGCACAACTGTTTTTATGACGATGTAGGGTAGATCACCACATCCTCTCCCGGGAATATGTGCGTGCGCAGCCTCGTTTCCGGTTCACTTTTAGGCGTCGTATCTATCACTAAATATCCATAGGGGGCTCTGGTTGCATCGGCGAAGGCGTCTATCATGATCCGCGACCTTCCCGGGAATAATTGTCTAGCTAAATGAGCTATCTGGTCGGCACCGCGTACATTGCCGAAAGCCACGGTGTAGCCCGTATTAAGGGCTATCGTACGGGCATTTTTACCTTGGCCGAAGAGATTCTGGGTGATAAAGATGACGGTAATACAGCGGTGATGCGTGCCCATGGTGAAAAGAAGTGACATGCGTTCACTTTTCAACACATCTTGTTGAAGATCGTCCAATACAATAACCGAATGATCTCTGTCTTTGGTGAAATTCTCCAATTCCTCTTCCGTAGGTAGCCCGGGGTGAAGTACCAAATCGGAAATTTCTCTCTCCATCGTCTCGTATAAAGGTTGATGAATGCCGTAGCAGTACATGATCTTGCCTACCGGTTGAGTAAATACGCCATTTTTATTCTTCAGCAGCTTGTACACGAAGGTAGATTTGCCCGAACACGTACTTCCGGTTACGTTTATGGAGCTACACGCTTGGAAGGGTAGTACCCCTTCAGTAAGCCACCAGTCAGCCATTTCTTACAATCTAGACGAGTCCTTATAAATCTTTAACCTCATCCGCGTTAATCCAAGTATTGAACTGAAAATAAATGCGCATACCTTATATTTTATTCCATTTTTAGTAGTAACAACTTCGCTGACTAGGACTGAGATGTGTACACTTACACTCCCCTTCATAGGTTTTGCAACCGGAAGTCTCATTTTGGAAAGCTTATAAAGTCTTTCTTTGTTTGGATTTTAATTTCGTTCCTTAATAGATCGAATATTCATGACAAATTTTATCAATTTCCAAGATCACTAAACATAAATAGGATAAGGTTTCCGAAAAGATACTTCCGGTTGCCAAACTTGTGGAGGGGAGTATACCTTATTAGGCCAGCCGGCCCACTTGACGAGAACCTCGCGTCGACCTCCGCGCCGGCGCCTTTTCAAGATGGCCTCCACCCTGTGAACGTCGGAAGGATTCCTGATCCTTTGTAGTTCGTCCTCGTAAACCATGCCCTCTATCGGTTCATCGGCCATGTCTTCCAGGGAATAGACGGGAGGATTAGTCGGGCGCCTGTCCTTCACTTTGAAGTATTCCACTGACCATTTCTGATCGAATCCCCGGTCGAATATTGCCCGCGACCTCGACAGACGCACCAAGTCCCCAACGTTAAACTTGAAGCGAGGCACCCCTTCATCTTGTTTTTTACCCTTCATGTAAATATTCAGCCATACTTGAAATTCGTTGTCATTGTTCACCGAATCCGGGGACATTTTGATGGTGCGGTGGTAGGCTTTGTTGTAGGATTCCACAAGAGAGGGCAAATCGTCTATGTAGCGTTTGTTCCCTCTGTGATAGAGCATTCTGAAGATCTTATCCTTGATCGTCCTAATGACCCTCTCTAGAACGTAGAAATACCCATTCTTTGAAACGCCAAACATAAGCAGATTTTAGTAAAAATTCAAAAAATGTTTCCATTGCTAAGTTGATAAATGGGAGTGTACTCACCCGCGAAATTTGCTTTCGTATCTGACCTCGTGGTGAAGTGCCATACATTTTGATCGTTTAAAAAACGCTTGACTTTGGCATTCGTGTACTCTGTACCTACACAAATATGATGAATAAATGACGATATTATCTTAGATTTGGCCCAAACAATTAACAAAATTTAATACAAAAATCGATCAGTTCTCCACGAATGAGATGGTTTGTTAGATGTTCCATGACATACCTTGATCTGTACGCAGGCGCGTTGGTTTGCGCCCATTTTGGAATACCCGGCGCATGGCTCCTACCATTTCGGCCCCGGTTTTATTTTTAAGAGGCTCCACGAACAGATATTTGCTCAAGGTGTCAATGAAAATAGCCAGATAGCGATAGCCATCGTTAAATTCAGCCAGGTCTATGAAAGAGGCCAGATCCGAATCCCATTGTTCGTCTATGGAGCGAACTTCCACTTTCCTACGCTTATAACGAGTTCTAGTCTTTCTAAACAAAGTATAGGCATCTTGTTCACTCAACCACGATTTCAATTGTTTTCTCGAAATACCACGGTCTTTAATTCTGCGCCAAACTTGATCGAAGCCGGCGTAAGACCCGGCATCTTCTCCGTCGTAATAAATGCGTTTAAGCATGGATCGTTCGACTTTTGACAACGGTTTTGCATCGCTACTTTTCGTGAGGGATCTCTTCTTTGAAGATTTCGAATTCATTTCCAATTTTTTATCGAACATTGAGCTTTTATTTTCACGCTTATTCATGTTTTCTAGTTTCTCTTCGCTACTAGACATGCTTTACCTAGCTAGGATAAATTCAACTAAACACCGAAGTTAGTAACATTTCAATATATACATTATTTTATTTACATACATATTCAAGTTATTATTTACAGTAACATGCATGTACATCGATACGGGAGAGTATTCAAAGTTGACATACTAGTTACTTCAAATTGCAAAATTCAGATTGCATTCCCCTAATTGATCAAAATCTTCTCCTAAAATAATTTTAGTTTTCGTAAATATACAGACTGCATCGTTTCAATGACAAATCCCGTGTTAAATGTTAATAGAGAGAACGCCAATATGTTCACGTTTTTCAAAATTCATTCCCCAATTTATGTTTGCAGGTTCCAAATGTCAATCTATTGAGAAATGGTGTGTTGTATTCTATACATTACAATTGCAATGCAATGCATTTACAATATAGTAAAAATTCAATAATACAATACAATGTAGTAATTCACAATTCAGTTCATATTGATTGATAAATCAAACAAACGTTCATTTATGGCGGGATAAGAGTTACGTTCAAAGGTTCGGTGCATCCATCTGAAGTAAGACTCCTTTTGCAATAAAAATAAATTATAATTTATAATAACGCGGATGTACATCGATACGTGATTGTTTTCAAACTTTGTTCTATTAGCAATTTCAATTTTTTTTGTTATATTCCCAAAATTCACATTCTATTTCCCAAATTTATCATTATTTTCTTCTAAAATAATTTTAAGTTTCGTAAATATGCTGAAAGCATCGTTCCAATGACAGATCCCGTGTTAAACTTTAATAGAGAGAACGCTAATTTATTCACGTTTTTCAAAATCCATTCCCGTATTTTAGGTTTGCAGGTACCAAATATCCAATTATTTTTATCAATTTGAAACATTTTAACTGTTTCACTGGAACGCATCATCGTGAAATGCGTAAACCTATTGACATGCAAGTAGCGGGTTGTATTCTACATTTGAATTACAATGCAATGCATCAACACAATACATTTGCAATACAACAAAACAATACAACGCAGTTCTTCATAAATTAATTCGGTTTGATTTACCAAACATATAAAAGGTTCATTGTGACGGGGTAAGGGTTATGTCAAGAGGTTCTGTGCTGCCATCTGGATTTAGCTTCCTCTTACAATAGAAATTACTGAAGCCCAGGCGTTCTTGATGGTATGTATGCATTCGATTTTGCATCATCCTGAATCCAATATTGACTCCCGACTGGGCTTCGTTGGTGTCCAACACTTTCTTATACAGTTCCATCGGATTTTCAAACTGATTTTTATTTAGCCCCTTGCAGCTAAATTTTACCGTGTCACTCTGACTGTCGTAGAGGCAGTAAGTTTTGGAGCACAACGCTGTCATTTGGTCCCCCTCCGCCTCCAATTTGAAAATACCAGGCTTTCTCCGGTCCAGTTGTCTGTGCTCAGCCGTGTCGGTTCGGGGGAGCCAGTTGTTCTTTTCCCGCTCGAATTCCTCCATTAGCTCGGGTTTTATGGATTCCTCCAGACTATTTTCGGACAGGGCAAAATACAGACTGCAAAAAGAAGTATATTCTCTATTCATGCACTACATGCACCACTGACCATGATAATAACATTGAAAATTAGGATTTAAACAGAAGAAATTACAAAAATGTATTTTAAAATTAAACATTATACTAAAAATACCTGTCTGTATCCATCTCCATGAGTTCGTACATGCTCCTGTCCACAAACTTGTCCAGAAAATCATAGTGGAACTGTAGCATTCTACAACATACAAACATTCTGATTTACACAATGAAGCAATACAAACATAAACTATACCTAGTACATAATAAATACATAGGTACAGTGCTCGAAGAAATAACAGTATACAATAAAAATGTGTGTGTGTGTGTGTGAGTCTTACCTGAGTTTTGCATGTTGCAGAATGAAGAATCCTACTTGATGAGGCATATCGAGTCGTATGCGCGACTTGGCCATTTGCAGTTCGAAGGTTAGATCATCGAGTTCTTCCAATTTACGGAATCTTCTCTGATTCACTTTCTTTTGCACCTCAGCGAGACCTTGAAGGATACGGATGAGCATATGCTTAAGCTTATCCATAATCAAGGAGCCGTAGGCACTACAAGAAGAATACAAATAATTGGTATGCATAACTAACAGTAACTATCACACTGTCACATGGACGATTAAAACAAATCTGTTTAAACTGAATTACGTTTTGTTACCTGTTTCCTATCAACTTGCACGTGTCACCCCGACATGCTTGGGATGGGTCTCTATCACCAAGGAGTCGCGCCGCCGTGATGTCATTTACGAATTGCTCAAAGCATGCCTTTCCGTCATACTCCACAACGCAGTGAACAGCAGTGACCTGCATGAAATAATAAAATGTAACTTAGAAATAAGAAGATAAAATATTTTATTTATAGTCTATTTGAGAGGTTCATGTAAAAATGTAAACGTAGTTTTACAAGTTACCTACCTCTAGTCCATGCTTGATGTACCATTTCAACAAGTCAGAGGCCAACAAAATCTTCCTGGCTTTCATGCCGCCTAAAATGATAAATAGTTTTCCAAATTAATGAAACGCATTACATTTACATATACATTCGTTCATGTATCGATGTATTTTTGTCTCTTTTAATTAACTTATTTCTCTTTAGCATTAATGCATATATATCAAAAGAATGTATGGTTTTAACATACCTATTAACAATTTCCTGGGTTTCTGTGATAAACCATTGGATCGTACGTACTGCTGCATATGTTCCCCGAAATCTTCAAAGTTCACTTCACTGGTGCAGAAGATTGGAGCCATCTCCTTGAAGTGTCCATAGAGATGTTCGGGGACAGATATGTCCACTTCCAAAGCTCCAAACAGAGTGCCATCCATGACTGCTTCCATGATCTCATCCTCGGTCATGGTTTCTTTTTTGTCGCATGGCCTCGCAAATCTATCCTC